GCTCACCGTTAACTGTAACATGTTATCTCATCTCCTCCAGAGGAAACTGATAATTATGTCTCCCAGACATGAACAAGAGGCTCAATTGGTGTTGTTTGATAAAAACATTTAATAATAAAATGTAAAACGAAACTCTATTTGAGGCGTTTTTCCTTTAACTGTCGCGTTTCTTGGCATTTTTGTGCTTGTTTGTGCTCACAAAACGGAAAGTAAGCTTAGACTTAGACTGTACTTTATTGATCCCTTGGGAAGACTCCCTAAGGAAATTAAGGTTACCAGCAATGAATGCACAGTTACATAGTTGTGCGAGCTAATTTTTATTCCAGCAAAAGCTTTAACCAAAGCTATGAGCTATTCCCCGGTGAGCTCCCTTTTCTCAGAACCACTCCCTGCTCTCTCCTCTTTTCTGGCCCACTTCCTGCTCTTAGGGATGCTGTGGAGGAGGAGGCTTTCTCCAGCCTGCTCCAGGTCCTCAGCAGGCTGTCTGGAGAGCTGCAGGCAGCCCACACAGACGCCGAGGTGGTGGACGCCTTGCATCTCCAGCTAACAGCCGAGTGCTTCAGGGCCCAGAGGAACTCTTGTGTCCAGAGTGCACGCAACCAGAAGCTGCTCAGGTATTCAGGCAGAAAGGAGCCAGACGCCTGGTTTTTCTCTTCTACCCCTAAGCCAACAGAAATCCTCTCATGTTTTTGCAAACGGTCCGATCTGTACAGCTTCTTCCAACCCTATTATGCCAAATGTGTCATATTTGATACGGTTTCTGAAGGATCTGAGACTTTTTGCATAATTCAGTGGTAAAAGCTTTGCTCAAACCCCTGTTGTACACATTCAGATATACCTGATAACAGCCAGTAGAAGACTACACCAAAATATATATATTTTTGACTTATTGCACGCTAATTTGATCAAAATAATTTGTTTTTTTTTCCTCATATGTTGTTGAGGGGCCAAAGAAAGACTTCAGACTAAAAAAATCCAATATTCGTCCTATTTTTCTTGGATCAGGCTTTACAGGGTTAAAAAGAAAGTCCCACAATATTAGTATTTAGTGAATCAGGTCATTATTGTGGGACTATATTGCCCATAGCAGCTCTTATAATGAGATAAGCATAAGCTTGGATAAATAACATAATATAAATCACTGTGTTTTTATTCATTTTATGATATTGAAACCAAAACACAGCAGCATTATTTGGGAAAATCCAAATATTCTGGTTATTCACACCCTGCTTCTATGTTTTCGTAGGGTTTTTCAGACCTAAATAGAGTATTTATGTCATGAGCTGTTGTCTTAATGGGGGGAGGGGCAAATGCAGTGCTTAGGGGCTGATGTCCTGGAGGTTTGAGACGTTTTCCGCCCAATTTAGATGAACTAGAACCCCTTAAAGGGCTGCTAATGATGCTTTGAGTTGGGTTAAACATCCCAAGGCATCGTACTGGTCTCTTTAAGGATGAGAAGATCCTCTTTAATAGGTTCTCATACGAAAGTCAGACAGCATATCTTCATGTCTCTGGACTTATGTTTCACCTCTTAGGGAGCTTGGATTCATCGACGTGTCCCTGAAGCTGCTGAGCGTTCTCCAGACGCTGAACTCTGGGATGGAGGATGCTGCGTGTGAACGTAGGTGTGCGGCTTAGGGATGTCCAGATCCAGCTTTTTCACTTCCAATCCGATACCGATCCTGGCCTATCAGAGCATGTGTTAAAGTTTAAAGTTATTTATGTACTTACTTAGTTGTCAGACTCATGGTGAACAGGGATTTACTCTGATAACAACTTAATGGTTAGGACACAGGCCTGTGGGTTAGGAGATGCTAATGCTAATGCTTATGGGTGATTTAGGGTTTTTTACCTCTTTAAAAAAAATCCATTAAAAGCTTTTAAAGCCAAAAAAATAAATACATCCCAAATGTAAGCTGTGATAGTTATTTATGCACTATTGAACAAAGAGAGTCACATCTCTGGTGGAAACCCTCCAAAACTGGCACAAATGGAGCCTTTTTTGTTGGGATGCCTTCAAACTAGAGATGTCCTGATCCAGCTTTTTACACTTCCTATCCGATCCCGGCCTATCAGAGCATGTATTAAAGTTCAAAGTTATTTATCTACTTACTTAGTTGTCAGACTCATGTTGACCACGGATTTACTCTGATAACAACTTCATGGTTAGGACACAGACCTGTGGGTTAGCAGATGCTAATGCTAATAACGCTCATGTGGGATCTTACTTTAAAAAAAACTGGATGGGAAGTCTGGATCTGCATTTTCTTGCAGTTTTTCTGCATTTTTTTGTGAATATCCACATCCGATCATGGCAAGCCTACTCTGGTCTATAGAGTATAGATGTCCCGATTCAGCTTTTTTCACTTCCAATCCGATCCGATACCGGCCTATCAGAGCATGTGTTAAAGTTTAAAGTTATTTATCTACTTACTTAGTTGTCAGACTCATGTTGAACAGGGATTTACTCTGATAACAACTTAATGGTTAGGACACAGACCTGTGGGTCAGGAGACGCTAATGCTAATGCTCTGATAACATCCTAATGGTTAGGACACAGGCCTGTGGGTCAGGAGATGCTAATGCTAACGCTAACGCTCTGGTCTGCACAGCTCTCCGCTGTGGGATCCAGTTCCTGGGGAATCTGGCGGTGGGAAACCAGCTCTGCAAAGACGACGTGTGGCGCCTGGGCTTCCCCGACCTCTTCCTGTAGGTTCCCCTTCAGTTCAGTCGCCCGTGGCAACGGGATGTGCCGTTTGAGCCCGGACGTGTGTGCACAGGCAGCTGCTGGGTGGGGACGACGAGAAGGTGGTGAACTACACCTCCATGGTGCTCCACACGTGTCTGGATGAAGCCAGGGTGGAAGACCTGTCAAAACCGGAGAATATCCAGCTGGCACTCCGGGTGATGGAGCTCTGCAGGACCCAGCCGGACGTGGACTGGACGTAAGTAAAGACCAGGAAGTGATCCAGAACAGGAAGAGAAAACATGCGGTCTAAGATAAGATAAGATAAGATAAGAGCTTTATTGATCTCACAGTGGAGAAATTCACTGGTCACACATCGGTTACAGTTCAAAAGGAGGAAAAGGTGCATAAAGTACACCAAAAGCAAACAAATATACAAGGAAGCAACACAGCGTAGAGATTTGGGTGATTAAAATATATACAATCATTGATGGTTCACACACAGTACACATATTACACAGGTCAATAAATATAACACAATTGCACAGCAGTTGTTAAAGTGCAGAGTTGTACAGTCTGGTAGCAGCAGGAATAAATTACTTGCGGTATCGCTCTTTTTTTACACACAGGGTGTCTGAGTCTTTTACTAAAAGAGCTGCTCAGCTCCTCTACAGTCCGATGCAGGGGGTGAGAGGTGTTGTCCATGATGGATCTCAGTTTGGACATCTGTGTCTAAATCTGTGTTTTTCAACCACTGTGCCTCGGTACACTAGTGTGCCGTGAGTGATGGTCAGGTGTGCCATAAAAAAATCATCCTATTTCACCTAATTGGTCATAAAAGGTTTTTTGATAAGGAATTCATTTTCTGCAAATAATATTCCATTTTTGAGTGTCTGTGCTGTAGTTGTGACTGGTGGAGTAATCATGTAATAATTCCTTATGACTAGATTTTGTATATAATTTTGTATATTGAAGTGGACATGTTAGGTGCAATTTGAAAGAAGAAATATGAAATAAGATAAAAATACATTTTTGTGTTTATTTGATTCCTATTCAAGACACTTAAGATAAAATAAGAATAACTATAGTGTTACTATAGGTTACTAAAGATTTGTTTGACATTTTTGGTTGGTGGTGTGCCTCGAGATTTTTTCAAAAAACTGTACTTTGGCTCAAAAAAGGTTGAAAAACACTGGTCTAAATGAAGGAGCCTCTTTCCTCCAGCTGTGCCCCTTTGGAGCATGTTATTAGTAGTAGTAGTAGTAGTTTTATTAGGATCCCCATTAGCTGCCAAATAAATGGCCACTAGTCTTCCTGGGGTCCTCACATGAAAAAATTACATTACATTATGAACAAACCATTAAAAAAATCACATTAGGAAATAATATGAACATGAAAAAGAGTACAAATATACAACATATATACACATATATTCTGAGGCCAAACTGCAGAATTTGACAGCTTTCTTATATTCATATATTTGCATTTTGATCTGCTGATAGGCTGCTGATCATCTATTAAACATGTTAAAAATCAGACGTCACATTAGGCTCCTTAACCCTTTAAAGCCCGATCCAAGAAT